TTTGGCTTGGAATACGAGACATGGTAAATGATGTTAGGAAGAAAAAGTTGAAGTTACGACCAGTCACATATTTAAGTGGTTCACAAGGTTCTGAGTTTGACGTCCCACATGGATATATCTGGAGTCCTCATCTTGTTCCTAAACCAAAAGGTGCTAAATTTAGCTGATGCCAGGATAGTCTTTTGTTAGACATCTTAACCATCAAGATCTAGTCCTTATATTATGTGAAGCAACTATTTGTGATTGCAAATTAATATACGCTCGAGTCTTTTTACAGAAATCTAAGAATGCTAACAAAACGACTTTAGCTGTTGAAGAAAACATGATTATGGTGATAAACAACACTAAAACAAGGACAACACTAGACTTTGGTGTCACATACAAATTTTCCAAAAGAAGAAACGATTATGTGCCAGTAGCACTAATTCTTAAACAAGAACATGGTACGAATAATGTCCAATGCACTTATATTTTGAGAGAAACACATTATTTGTGTGCAAACAACACTAAAACAGAAAGAAAACATGATTCTGTTGTGAAGTTGACCAATTTTGATAGAGGTCATAATTCTGTTTTCAAACGGTTTAAACTTAAGAAAAATACGATTCTGGTGCGAAACTCACTAATTATTAGAGATTACTTGATTTTGTTCTTCTATAGTACTTGCCAAAAGGAAACATGATTATTGTGTAATGCACTAATTCAAATGAAAACCTGATTTACAATTGCACATGCAATAACTCTGAAAGTAAACATGATTCTTGTATCAACTACACTAGTTCTTGAAGAAAAACTAATAAAGAAAATCAGATATTTTCTTCAAAAATAGATCTAATAGTAATAAAACATTATTCCGGTGTCAACGGCACCAAATCTAAAAGAAAATAAGCTTGTTGTGCCCAATACACCAATTGCAAAGAGGAACAACATTCAGGTGTCAAGGATAAGAATTCCTGGATAAACATGATTCTTATGTCAGATGAACTAATTATAGGAGAAAACATGACCACGAGGTCAAATGAAATATATCTTCAAGAAAAACAAGACTCGTGAATCTAATGCTTAAACTTGAGAGAAAAGATGAATTGTGTTTCACTTGCACTCAATTCTTGCCTAAGACATTATTCTAATGTGACAGTGCACTTATTTGGTGAGAAAACATGATTGCCGCATGGTTATGTATACCTGCCTCCGTCTTTTTCCTTATTTTTATTTTCTGAGGTTTTTTTTTTTTTTTTTTTGGGGGGGGGGGAGGAGAGGAACGTGTGTGTGTGTTGGTTGCAGCTAGAGGAGGCCGTTGCAAGTAGACTAAGGATGGTGTAGTTGCTTGTATTTTAGAGAGTTTCTTCTTCTTTGAATTATTTGTGCCCTTTTTACCTTCAACTTTATTAGACGACAGTAATTTTCACCCACAATGTCGGGACTTTACTTACCCAAATGACGGTTAAAAATTGACATGGTCTAGTTTTGTAAACCTTTTCCCTGAGGAATCTGGTCATTATGCGTATTAGGCTAAGTTCTTTTTTGGTTTACTGGTGTGAGCTAGGGTCGAGATTTATTAAGTCGATGCCCCCATGATGCAGCCTATCCTTCAAGATGAATAAATAGTGTGTTACTGAAGGAACCATGATTTTTATGTGTGAAAGCTATGGTAACTTAGTCAGTGCTTTTAGATACTTGACATGTGCAGAACTTAAATTGTGTTATTATCGAGCCTAATATTTGGTAGGCCTAATTTTATGTTCATTAAATTTACAAGTGCTCTTGAGTTCACTGGTTATTCTGCCTTGAAGACATCCTAGTCAAGTAAGTTACGATTTTCTGGAAGCTGGTGTGCTAAGAAACATCCAGTTAGCACTGGAGCCCTATTAACTTATGGTTTATGAATTTCTGAGCTCCACAACCTTTACGTGTTATGTATCAATTTCTAGATATCATCAAATTATCCTATCTTGAGTCTGCTGCTGAAATAAGAACTACAGTTACTGATTTACTTTTGGTCATTGGATGTTTAAGTTCCATATTGAGGTGAAAACGACATTATTATGTCCATCAGTATGATGAGTCAAACTGTGAATCATCGTGTGCTTTAAGAGAGAATAATATTCCCATGCTTACCGTTTCACATGAAACAAATTAAACATGAAAAGACTGACTGACCATTACAACTACTAAGGACACTTTGGTTGCTTTACAAGTAGGGGTGCAGTTGGGCAGGTTGAGAGGTCAAACCGGGCTCAAACCAAGTCATAAATCTTCAACCCGAGCCCAACCCAAACCCGACCTTCAAATCAAACCTTGCAACTCGGGTACTACCCAATCTTAGATTTTGGAACTCAAGTTGAATTCAGATTGAATAGAAACAAAATAGCTGCAAAAGGCCAAAATGAATTCTCAAAGCTGATAACTCTACATTTTGCTACATCCTAGACTACTCAATACTCAGGTTTGTGAAATGTTCAAACACCCAGGCACACACAACCCAAATTCCATCAGGTTAAGTTAAAATCCGTAAAAGACTGAAGAAGAAATGAATTCTAACATGAGTGAACTCCAATACTAAGAAGCTGTTAAATTTTCACATGCTTCATACAAAGAGAATTGATACAAATTGTCTACTGGGTGCCCACCTTCTCTCTACACCTTTCTCACCTCTCGCTTTTTTCCCACCAAAACCGAGACTATTGGTATGCAAGTGATGGTTTGATGCAGATTGTAGATGATGAGAGAAGGTGAGAAGCAGCTTGAGTTTGTGACAAAAAGAAAGAGAGAAAATGTGTTTTTTTTTTCGATAAGAGAGAGAATATTTTGCAAGTAACAATCAATATATTTATACAAATTGGGGACATGATTTCCCCTTTTCGGCCCGGGATTGAACTTTTCAGATTAGGCCCCCCATTGCACCCATATTTACAAGTTGATGGATACCTCTATATGCTTGTCAACCCTGGACTGTATGTATGCATGTTTCATGTCACATATTTTTTACGTATTTTTCGGGTTAAGTCCTACTCTTGTGACATCATGACATAATTTATTTTGCATTGATTTGGTTTTTAATTTTTTTGGTCTTTTGCTATACATTTTATATGAGATGGCTTAATTGTGCAGACGAGAGGATGCCGGTTTCTGATTTATTTCATGCTGGTTTTGCAGATTGGGGACCTAAAGTTGATGTGGTGGGATTTTGCTTCCTTGATCTTGCATCAAATTATGAACCTCCCAAATCACTTGAAAACTGGCTTAAAGCTGGTACAAAGCCTATTTATATTGGGTTTGGTAGCCTTGTGAGTTGTCTTTCTATGTTCCTATATCCGTTATGTCTGTTTTAATGGTTATTTGAGGGTTCGTGCTTGCTTTATGATATATTGCACTATCTAGAAATAATTAAACAACAGGGTATGATCAAATTGAATTGAAATGTCATCAGAGTTGAGAAGAGAGAAAAATAAAATCATTTTCCTCTTGTCCTGGGTTTGCACTTTATGGTTGGTAGTCATTTTCCATTATTGCTGTATGTTCCATATTTCATGATGAAATTAATGTTATCATTGACAATTTGGCTTACAATTGTACCTGAAGCGAAATGTGAAAACGTTAAAGAAATCCAAGCATCTTTTTTTCAATGAGGGTCCTCTATTGGCTTTTGGGGCTGTGACTCACTTTTTCTAGATAATTTTAGATACTCCATTGTCCATAGTATGAGGAAATTTGAATTATGTTCGTGATCTCCTACTAAATTTTCCTTTCCTAAATAACTTTGAATTTATTTTTCCCACATCAGCCTGTTCAAGAACCAGAGAAAATGACAGAAATAATTGTTCAAGCTCTAGAAATAACAGGACAAAGGGGCATCATTAACAAAGGCTGGGGTGGTCTTGGTAACTGTAAGTTTCTGTGTCCTTCAATTTGTGATGCCCTCTGTAACTATAGTTGCTTGGTAACGAAAAAATCCCACTTTTTGTCTTGTGCGTGGGGTAACTCTATTTGTTTAGCTGATTCTGTTCTTCACAGTGGCAGAACCAAAGGACTTCGTGTACTTGTTGGATAACGTTCCTCATGACTGGCTTTTTCTGCAGTGTGCTGCTGTGGTGAGACTTCCTTACTTATCTTTGTTTCTTTACATTATCTGTAGACCATTGAATCTGGCCACCAATACCTTCTAATCACGGATGGACATGACATATTGCTTATGTGGTATTAGATGCCAGACTATCAAGTTTTGTCAATGTAGATCAATGGAAAACTTATTATACCTCCTCAGAATCACGCATGTCAGTATTTGGTACCCTTAAAAGTTCCCCTTGCATTTTTGACAAGACTCTTAGCCCCTTCTTTGTCTTCGACTTTTAGGCAATGTAAAATCAATGAGTTTTCACAAAATTTATGTTCTAAATATAAGGAAGACAAACAGGGGTGGATTTACTGTGGGGCAATGAGGCACTTGCCCCCGGTAATTTTCACAAAATTTGGTATGCATTTAATATTTTTGGAAATTTAGAGTTATTTGAAACTTGCTCCCACTAAAATGTATATATAAAATTTTAGGATTTATATTTTACAAAATAAGTGGGGTGCTACCACCACCACCACCACCACACTGCCACCACTGTCCTTGTCACCAACCTCATCCAAACCCATAACCTTCTGGTGGAACCTTAACGCGTAAATGAATAACAAGTAACTGAATAAATAAAGACATTTACTCAGTTTTCTGTCGATGTTGAGGAAAAAAAAAAAAGAGAAAGGAAAAATTGAAAGGGGTGGATAGAGAAGAAAGATTGCAAGTATGTGTGTGAAGAGGGAGGCGGTCAGAAAAAGGACAGAGAGAGAATGAGGGAAATAGTCAAGAAAAAAAGGGAAATAGGATGTCGTGTGTAAGGAAATGGGGAGGAAAATAAGTAAAAGAGAAGAACAAGTATGAGATAGTATGGAGCAAAAGATTCTTTCTTTTTTTATTCTTTGTATAAGAGGTAAGGAGATTGTAGACTATAGCTAAACTAACTAAAGTTGTTGAACTCTAAAAACACAATATATGCGATGTATATAATGGGTTGAACCGAAATCATTAAATCTAGATGGGTTTGGGTTGAACCTAATCAACTCCGCACTCTAACTCGAATATTTCTCAAATTTAAACTGAGTTGATAATTTTTTTTTTCCAAGTACCAGAAATTCACTGCTTAAAGAAATCTTGTAAGAAAATTTCAAGTACAATGTAAGAAATGAAAATGTTTTGGAAACAAAATGGAGACGGTAAAAAAATTGGGAATTTATGTGCAAAACGTTTCAAAAACAGTAGCCGAAATGTATCAGAACAATCTCGAAGCATTTTAAAACATTGGTGGAAACATGCCAAAATATTTTGAAACATCTTGAAGTATTGAAATTTCAATTCAATCATTGATTTGTTTCGATCTCTTTGGAATCACTAGTTTGTTTTGATTTATTTGGAAACGAAAATATTTTGGCATTTTCAAATTGATATTTTGATCCTTGGTTACCTAGAGCAGTAATGGGATCCAATTTAAGCATAAGATGATGCCTACTCCCTCCAGGACTAAATATGAGGAATTGGAATTAGAATTAGACTAGTGTATATTTAAATAACTTAAAGCAAAAGATTGTGAAATCCAATGATGCATTTAGAAGTAAATTAATATGAAATAACACTTGTTACAAGGGGAGGGATATTATCATATTTCAATGATAAGATAGGAACTAATTTGGAATAAGTAAGTTTTTGTTGTATGATCTTAAATCGTATTTCTGAGCTTGATAGGTTAGAAGTGGTGGGAGACTTAAATGACCACTTGAGAAAGGGACAGATTAGATTTAAGAAATAAGAATGAGAAGGTCGTGTTTAAAGAAGATATTAGTTAAAAGCAAAAAGTTAAGGTCAAGTGGGTAAAAGAGGAGGACTATAATTCAAAGTTTTTTCATAAAGTGGCTAGTGGAAGGAGGAAAATAGATTATAAGCAAACTTGAAATTGGCAATGGTGTGATAATTGAGGATGGAAGGAGAATTAGGGAGGAAATCATTAAATATTTTAAAGATCTTTATTCAGCTCAAGAGAGATTTAGGCTGACGTTATTAAGATTAGAGTGAAGCCCTATTGGAGTTGGTAAATCTACGTGGTTGGAGAAACCTTTTGAGGAAGAAGAAGTGAAAGATGCAATTTTTTAGGGTTCTAGAAATTAGTCCCTTGGGCCGAATGGTTTTTCTATGGTCTTGTTCCAAAATTGTTAGGAGGTGATGATTTAATGAAGGTGCTTAGGGAGTTTTTTAATAATGAAGTGATGAATGTGAACACAAATGCAAGTTTTTTTTGCTTGATTTCTAAAAAATATAATTAACTGAAAATTGAGGATTTTAGACCAATAAGATTAGTTACTAGTTTGTGTAAGATCTTGTTAAAGGTGTTGTTAATAAGATTGAGGGTGATTTTAGGGAATACAATATCAGGAAATCAAAGTGCTTTTGTTATAGAGAGACAAATATTGGATGGTGTCTTGGTGGTTCTTTAAGTGGTAGAGGAGTATAAAGTGAAAGGTAAGGCAAAGTTAGCTTGAAAGACTGACTTTGAAAAGGCATATGATCATGTGGATTTAAAGTTATTTGATTTTGTGTTTAAAGATAAAGGTTTTGGGAGTAAAGAATGTTTATCTTCAATAAGTTTTTCGGTGGTCATTAAAGGTAAGCCACGAGGTAGATTTAATGCCTTTACGGGCTTCAGGTAGGGAGATCCTCTTTCATCACTTCTTTTTTAACTTTAGTAGTTGATGGTTTAAGTCGTTCGATGTATAGAGGAATGGAGTATAGTTAATAGAAGGCTTTTTAGTGGGAGAGGATAGGATTAGTGTTTCTCATCTACAGTTCGCGGATAACACCATTTTTTTCTTGTTGGGAGATAAAAAAAATTTCACAAATTTAGTTTACATTGTTAGGAGTTTAGTTTGGTTTTAGGGTTAAAGTGAATATGGCAAAGAGTTTAGTTGTGGGAATTAATACTCCTTGGAGTAAGATCGAAGGTCTGGATAAAAGGTTGGGGTGTGAAGTGAATGAGTTACTTTTAAAATATTTGGGCCTTCAATTGGGAGTTAATTCTTTAACCCTTACTTTTTGGAATCCGTTTGTAGAGAGTGTAAAAAATGTTAGGTGGATGGAAGAAGGGTTGTTTGTCTAAAGGAGGGAGACTTACTTTAACCGAAGCGATTTTGGGTAGCATACCTACATATTTTTTGAGTTTTTTTAAGATGCCTAGAAAAATAGTCAAGATATTGAAAAAGATGATGAGATATTTTTGTGGGAAGGAAGTAGAGAAGGGAAGAAAAATCATTTATTAAGATAGGAAGTTGTGTCAAAATCAAAACCAAAAGGTGGGTTGGTAATAGGTCATTCGATTAAGAGAAATGCGCCTTTGGAGGTTCTCGTTAAAACCTGATTCCTTGTGACATTCTATTGTATGGAATATATTCCAATGGATAAGACTCTAAAGTAGCAAGTATAGGATCCTTTTGGAATCTTTGGAAATGTATCTTTCAAGGTTTTGAGGATTTTAGAAAACGCATTACTCTGAGAACGGGAAATGAGGGGAGAGTTTGTTTCTTGAAGGATATTCGGATTGGTGAGTTACCTTTTGCTCTATGATTCCCTTGGCTTTATTGATTGTCGGGTTTCCATAATGCTTTTGTGATTAGTTTGTTTGGTGCTTCTTCCCAAAGGGGGTGTAATTTCAACTTTTACCATAATCTTAATGATAGGGAAACTTTGAAATCGACATCTTTACTCCCATTGATTAATTAGGTCTCTTTGGATTTGTCGGTCAAAGATAAAGGGTTTGGTCTCTTGATTCTTCTGGAATTTTGTCTTGTAGTTCCTATTTTCAATATTTAAGTGGTAATCCTTCGTATCCATTCTTTGAATCGTGAGTTGTTTGCGTGCGTGATTACTCATGATAAGGTGAATACTTGTGACTTGTTGCAAAAGAAAAGACCTAACATATTTTTTTTCCGAATTGGTGCGACTTGTGTAAGAAAAGTGGTGAAATTATTGATTACTTGTTTTCGCGTTATTATATTATTAAATTTTTATGGCATAAGCTATTGTGGAGGTGGATTTGTAGTGGGTGACGCCTTGTGATTGTATATCCTTATTAGTGGTTAGTTTTGGTGGTTTTGGGGGTGGGAAAAAAGCTTCAACACTATGGAGATGTGTTATTTTGGCCATTTTTTGGGTAGTGTGGATAGAGAGGCATGGTAAATTTTTTGAAGGGAAGGAGGAAGAGGAGTTGTTATGGGATAAGCGAAATTTTTAGCATCATTATGGGCCAGGGCTTTAAATGAATTCAATGACATTCCTTATTCGGTTTTCCAACAAAATTGGAAAGCTATTTGTAACTGGATCGTCTTTTTTGGTTACTTTGATTTTTATCTTTTTGGGTGGATTTCTTATCCACCACTTATATAATTTTTCATCTCTCAATGAAATTAAAGTTTGTTTGTTATTAAAAAAAAGAGATAAGACACGAACCTTTGATTTAGAACTTGAAGGATGTTATGCTAGCTCTAACTTCATGTTGTGAGCTCTCGTAATATGAAGATGGATCAATAGATGTGGTTTGCTTGTTAAATCATGTAGTGATCGTGTCCGGTAAGACCTCACTAGGCATGAATAAGTTTGAATGTTTGTAATTTCCACCCAATACATTATTTGAGTTCTCTTTGCTTTGTACTTTGCTTTCAGGTGCACCATGGTGGTGCTGGAACAACGGCTGCTGGTCTTAAAGCTGCGGTAAGGCTTGTTAAATTATTGTCGATCAGCTTACCAAAAAAAATATTGTTGACTTGCCTTCTGTTTCATCTGATTATGCCTCTGGCTATATTTTGATTTCCATCTTAATGCAATATAGTGTCCTACAACCATTGTTCCTTTCTTCGGTGACCAACCTTTTTGGGGAGATCGAGTTCATGCCAGAGGAGTAGGCCCTGCGCCCATACCAATTGATGAGTTTTCACTACCCAAGTTGGTTAATGCAATCAAATTTATGCTAGATCCCAAGGTAACAATCAATTCCTCAATATCTGGATCGCATCATCACCATGCATGTTTTTATTGTTTTATGCTGATTTGCTTGCCTGCCTCCTCTTCAATATTCACTTAGAGGAAGTAAAATCAAATAATGACTATAAATGTAGGTAAGAGTAAGAGTTAAGAAAGTTGAACACAACTCGTAGATAAAACTCTAGCCCATGATAGATTCTTCCTCTACCTTCCCACTCCTCCACAGCCCCCCTTCCCTCCTTTCCCCCCTTTCATTGGGCCCTCTAGGCAGTTTATAGAGAGGGTAGCCAAAAAACAATACGGCAGAAACTAAACTAGGAAGGTAATGCAGGTGAAGGAGCTCGCTGTTGAACTTGCGAAGGCCATGGAGGAGGAAGATGGTGTGAAAGGAGCAGTGAAAGCTTTCTTTAAACATCTTCCTTGTAAGACACAGGATCCGGAGCAAATACCTGCCCCTTCTAGTTTATTCTCTATAAGTAGATGTTTTGGTTGTTCGTAGATCTTGACGGGATAAGTTTGTCCCCCCTCTCATAGTTGTGCATGCTTGGTTTGGCTATAACAGTCTACCTTTGTAATTATGAAAAGGTGAGATGAGATGAATCCTAGCAAGACTGGACCCAGTTGTTCACAGCAATCCCTATCCCGCTGCCCCCATAGCGGTATTGATCTTTATTCATTATGCTTATTATTTGTTTGTTGCAATAAATATTTCTTCTGTGAGATTGTTTTCTTGGGTTGGTTCATCGGTGAAAAGGGGGCTTTAGCTGCTGTCTTGTGGCATTTGTTATAATATATATTTTATTTTATTTTATTTTATTTTTAATGATGAGGAACTTTTAAATGCACGGGTTACCAGAGAGTCGAACCAAAGACAGTTCAACCAAAGCTAACCTCAGAATGTAAAATAAGCTAAAACTCTTTACTCAGTTTGTTCCCATTTGGGTTTGTTTTGCAGCCGTTCCAGGCAGGGGGGCATTAACTTAGACATTTGTTTGTATTTTGAAACTACCCTAGTTTTTAAGATTTTTTTTTTGTTGCAGAGTGTCGACGTTTATACCAACTATTCAATTGAGCTTTAAATTGGTCACCATAACTCGAACTAGTTTAAGAACATGTCACCTAAGGAACAAGGGGACATGTTAGTAAGAGTTTTTAAGATAATCAACCCACTACAACGTTAGCAAGAATTTAGGACCAATTGTGTCCTAAATGTTGTAAAAGAATTGTCTACTACACCAATTAAGCACCGATGGGTCTCTTTATTTGTTGGGTAAAACTTGGCAGAGTAGTAAAATTGTGCTAATTTAAGTAGAAATTTATTTTATGACGTCAGTTAGCCAATCATGGCAAGGCTTTGGTTAGTAAAATTTGATAGTTTTGGTCTTTTTCGACTTAACTTAGTTGGGAAATTGAAACCGTTTCAACTAAGTTTTTTAAATTTGCGAGGGGGTTTATGCCCTATAAAGAAAGATGAGACTTAGAAGGGTGTAGAGAAAGAGTCTATTACTGTTTGGTTATTTGGTCGTTTGTTAGTTTTGCAGGTATTGCGCACAGGAACAGTCTTTGATTGAGGAAAAGCAGTTTATCGTCTTTCTGGGTACGGATTTTTCTATATACATATGGTTATGAATTCTGATTAAGGTGGTGCTTATTTAACGACTCGTTATCGACTGTGGGTGTAAGAACATGGACTGCAAAATCGTAACATATCAACATACTTTTATAGTTAGCGTCAATGGCAGCCCACTACAGTAGCTTTTTTATTTTGGTGGATCCACTCTAGTATTACAATCATAGCAACTAGTGTTAAAGGAGTTGAAGCATGCAACGAATAAAAAGGTGACAAGTTGCAAGAATTGGCGGTGGGGATGTCAGATAATACAGGAACGGGACTAATGGCTATCTGTGTGCTCCATAACTATTTATTGTAAAGGAGACTAGGTGACTTGCATGGAGAGAGAGAGAGAGAGAGAGAGAGGAAGAATGAGGCAACTGTCCTTCTGACCAAGTGGGGAGACTTGTCTTCAGCTTTTGAATTATCCAATCCTTTCATATTGGCCATTAGAGACTGCAACCAGGTCATTTACTCCTGTTCATCTGCCTTCCTGATTCCCATCTCTCTCTCATTTTTCTTTGGGCATCCTTGTATTTGATAGACTAGCCCCTCATCAATTACATGCAAGGGAAATCAGGACTGCTCTCAGTTGAAGGATGTAGCATATACCAGTTTCATGTAATATTTGTGTTTCCTTTGAAGGGAATTGTACCGACCATGGTCATTGGACCCATAGTTAGCTATGTAAATCTTGAATACACGTAATTATCTGTAAATTATGTGTATCAATTAAACACGAATTTTATGGGAGAGAGGACTAGAACAATTGTGCCTTTGATTAATGGGATGTCCAGTGTCACAGGTTAATTGATGAGAGATAAAAGCATAGGAAAGAAAGGGAGTAAAACCGGCTGCCAAGTAACAATAGTGCCCATGAAATCCGATAAAGTGTCAGAGTGAGAGAGGGATAGAGATTCCAGTTTCCGATCCTTACATCTCTCTCTCTCTCTCTCTCTCTCTCACACACACACACACAATCTCTCTCTTTTCCTCATGATGCAGAAGAGTATTGGAGGATAGTTGCCCACTTATCCCCTCTCTTATCTCTTCTGTTCCCAAGCCCATACACCATACTGTCCCATGCACTCTTTTCAATATAATCACACACAGACACCTCTTCACATGTCCCAACCCTTCCAAACATAGTGTCTGAGCTGTACTTCTACCCTCTTTTGATCAGATCAAAATAGTCTGCAAACTTGGTTCATTCTCTTCTTTTCCTGCCACTCTGCTCAATCACTTCTTCAACTAGTTTCTGAAGGTTTTTTTTATATATGCTTTCACTTTGAAATTGTTTCTCTCTTTTAAATTAGCATGAAGAACTTGTCTTATAAGATATTGATCTTTAATTCTTTATACATTGTTTTGGTTACAGACATGGAAGGCGAGAACGTGACAAATGTTGCAACGAATAGTGCAAACGATACGCGAAGATTATTTCCTTGTTCATTTTGCTCGAGAAATTTTAATAGTTCACAAGCTTTGGGAGGCCATCAAAACGCACACAAGAAGGAAAGAACCGCGGCAAAAAAGTCTAAAAGGGCATCAGAGTACACAAGGAACAACACATTATGCTCATTTCCACAACCACCACTAATTTTTACTCCAGACCACCATCATCAGCTTGGCCTTTTTAATCCTTCCATCTACATAACTCCTCATGCAGCCAGCCATTACCAATTTCCTGGCCAACAGTTTTCGAATCATTTTAGAACAAAGGGTGGACCTCGTTTTGATGACATAATGTTCGGTCCTGCCAACTGCTTGAATAGCCCACATCAATTTGAAGAGCATGAACAAAGTTTCTTGAATTGGCAAAATAGTCTGCGAATCAATGGCTCAAGTGAAAGTTCTCCACAACATCAATCGACACTGAACAAGAGTCACAGTCATGGAAGTGACGACAGGGAGAAAGATCAAAAGCTTGATCTTTCGCTTCATTTATAGATAAAAGAAACCAAGGCTAAGCTAGATAGGTGAGTCCAACAGATGAACTATTTCTTTTGACAATTGTTTTTATTGTTCTTGTTCTTTTTGTTGCAAGTCTGAAAATGGAGTGTTACTGTTGGTTGTTGGGGGTCCAAAACATTGCACAAACAGGTCTAATTTTCCTTTGTGGATGAACATATCTAACCTTCCATATTTACTAGTGATATTTTTAAACGTTTGCACTACACTTCAATGAATCACGAAAACAATCTCTCTCCTCAAACCGGTGGCTAGTGGTATTTTTAAACGTTTGCGCTACACTTCGTTGAATCACAAAAACAACCTTTCTCCCAAAAGATTCAGAGGCGTTTCCCACCACAGCTCAAGAAAAAGCTTGAAAATATACATAATATGACCTTAGATACTGGAAATCGATCATTGTTTTTCCGGAAGATGATAATGTTGTTTTCAATAATGATATTTGGACTATCTTTGTTGATCAAATCATATGATATTGGTGGATTAACAACAGAGTCCCAATACTGAAATTGGTTAAAACCAATTCAATTATAACAGTAAATTTGACCAAGAAATGTGGTCATGATATAATATAGATGAAGTTGAACAATTGAAAATATGATATTTGTTTTTGTTGTCAATGTTTCGCTTGATAGCCTGGGTATTTTCTTTAATACACTCCTTCGATTCTTCAGCCAGCTGCCTCTTTGGCTTTTTGGGTTACCTTAAAATTAAAATTAGGCCAGTAAATCATGTTGGGTCTTAGTGAGTTCTTGTCAAAAAATACTCCACTCATGTTCGATTAATTCGTATTATTCACTTGTTTACTAAACAAATAGCTTAAGGAAGATTTAAATCTTTTAATTTTGTATCGTAACACTCTTACTTCAAACACAATTACATCTGCAAGCAGTCAAAAACATTAAACCAAAAACATTTCCCAACAAAAAATTGCTAATGATATTGACAACAATAACTACATCAGCCAAAATCTAATAGTTTATTTCTCACATTTGTGAAATAGATATTATCAATTCGGTAAAATATCATTAGATATCGATGAAGACATGAAATCATTATTATCAATCACACTCACCCCACCCATGAAACCAGGATTAAAGAAAAAGGGTGAATACGTCACTACCCATTAAAAGAAAAAAAAAAACAAACAGTAAAAGAGAACAGGCCATTATTTAATCCAAGGGCTGCGTGGGTTCAATCAGTGTATTATGCAGCAGCAAGCAAGAGGCGCACCGCGGCCTGGTTTAACACATTTTCCACCTTCAGGAAATTTTCTTTCAATGCAAGTTCGATTGCAGTCTGGGAAATCCGAACAAGGCCCTTGATAGACCCTCGTTTCCGCAGCTTGACCTGCCACACAAACAGTACCTACTATTAGCAAATGAACAAGAACAGTTTTGGATTCATTCCTCCAATATATATATATATTTTAAATTTTTTTATGTATCAAAGTTTGACCCACAATATTCAAACGGGTCCGTCATCCATCAATACCCAAAATTCCGACGTAAATAATCTATTTTTGATTGAATGAGGTACGTGTAAGCTATTCTAAACATATTTGATCATTGAACTTAAAAAAACAAAAACAAGGTTGAAACATGGAAGGATAGATGTTTACCTGAACTCAAAAGCAAAGCAATGCAAAGAAACCCAATGAAGAAGATTGCACACACTTTTCTGGCTGTCATTCTGCCAAGGTTTGTGTACTCCTTTTCTTGTCTATTGGAATGAGTATACGTACAGCTTCTTAACCAGTCTATTTATAAGGGCATTTTGCAATATTTCTCTCCTAGAGAGAATTAAAGAAAAAATATATTAGAGCAGATACGTATCCCTTATTTTAAAGTAAATAGAATCTCCTATTACGTTAACTTTGTTCTAGGGCAATCAATAACCAAATCCAGTGATTCATG